TTTTTTTTTTTTGATACCGAAGATCGAACTCAGGACCTTGTGCTTGTGAGGCAGGTGTGGTGCCACTGAGCTAAATCCCCAGCCCTATGGATCATCTTTTTAACTTATCTGTAGCTCATCTTTACTGTTAGTTTCATCCTGATTCCTAGTGATGTGCTTCTATTTTCTTCTTCACCAAGTTGTTATTTTTCAGTGTCTGGATTCCAGATCTCAGTAAGGCTGAATTATGCTAATGATTACTACTGCCATTTTGAGAGGGGACTAAAATCCAAAATGTTATGGTTTTTTTGTTTTGTTGTGTTTTTTGAGCCAGGGTCTTGCTTTATAGTTCAGGCTGGCCCTGAACTCACTATGTAGCCAAGGCTGGCCAAGAATTCACAGAGATCCTCCTGCCTCTGCCTCCTGAGTGCTGGGATCACAGGCGTGCATCACAATGATGACACTAGTATTTAAAATGTTTCAGATTTCAAATAGTCTGGATTAGGAATGCTCAAACAATAATCCAAAGTTTGAAAACCTCCAAAATCTGAAACACTTCAGGTTCTATACATTTTTGTGTAGGAAATACTAACTTGTGTTATTGAGAACAGTTTACTCACCTGAATACATAAGCAGTGACTCTGGAATAAATAAACAAGGTAAACAAATGTCAAGTTACTAGAGTTGTAATTCTCAGCCAGAATGTTGTGACATTGATACATTACAATCATTTGTAGCCCAGGCTGTTGAAGCTCTCCAGTGACTTGGTGTTAAAGTCACTTGCCCTGTCTTCTCATCTCAACAATTAGATGACTTAGAGGTCATGTAGTTCAGATATTCTGTTAAAAATGGCTTATACTAGGTGAGAGTATGATAAGAATTTCTAAGGTGATTATAATCAATGTGAGCAATCAGATCCTTTAAGAAAAAGAAATTTAGGGCCGGGGATTTAGCTCAGTGGTTCCGGTGCCTGCCTCGAAAGTGCAAGGTCCTAAGTTCAATCCCCTGTACCAAAATAAATAAATAAATGATTTACTACAGTAAAAAACACATTGCCATTAATCTCCCTCAAAAATACTCCCCTTCACTTAGAAAAAGAAATTTAAATTTTTTCTCATTATAAAAGCTGGTGGCACACACTTGTAATCCCAGCACTCGGGAAGCTGAGGCAGGAGAATCACTGTGAGTTCACGACCAGCCTGAACTCCATATCGAGACCCTGTCTCAAAAAACAACAACAAAAGGCAATACTGGGCCAGGCATCGTGCCACATGCTGGTAATCCCAGCTATTCAGGAGGTTAAGGCCGGAGGATCATAAATTCAAGCCCAGCCATTTCAGTGAGACCCTGTTTCACAATAAGAAATACAAAGGACTGGTGATGTACCTCCATGATAGAATGCCCCTGGGTTCATTAACTAGTACATTCCCATAGTCCCTGCTGCTTGAGAGAGTGAGACAGCAAGATCAAGTCCAGGAATTGAAGGCCACCCCAGGCAACATAGCAAAACTCCATGTAAAAAAAAACAAAAACAAAAAAACCCAACTGGGAGTGGTGACGAGCACCTGTAATCTCAGTATTCTGGGAACTGAGGCAGATGGAACAAAATCAAAAGTTCAAGTCCCACCTGGCAATTTAGCAACAGTTTGTCTCAAAATAAAAAAAGGTGTGCTATCTTTATCAATTTTATTTTATCACATCAATGATTAGAGATGTTTTGAAGGGATACATTCTGAAAAAATATTAAGCATCTGTTTTGGGGTTTTTTCATTTTGTTTTGGGGGCATGAGAGAGTTTCAGACAGAGTCTTATTTAGTCTAGGCTGGCCTTGAATTTG